CTGGATGTCACCGACAAACAACTCAACCACTTCTTGGGAGTCATTGTCGAGGGAGGAGCCGACACGACAGCATCGGCGACCCTGACCTCGATCATGTATCTGGCCCTTTACCCGGAGTTTCAGGAGAAAGCCCGCAAACAGCTGGACGCCGTGTGCGGAACGACCAGGTAAAGTGAACCACAAGAAGAGTACATGGGCAGCAGCTTTCTAACCGTGCCAAAACACAGACTTCCTTCGATCAACGATTTCGAAGCTATCCCTTACATCAATTGCCTGATCAAAGAAGCGTTGAGGATACATCCCGTGTAAGTGAGAGTTCCATCTTGTTTTACAATATCCACCCTCTAACAGTGAGCCCCTACAGTCTTCCACTCGGCGTACCACACCGGGTGAACCAAGACGACTGGTTCGAGGGAATGCTGATCCCGAAGGATTCCACCGTCATCCTCCCCACGTGGGCATTACACTTGAGTGAGCGTCAAGGGTACAAGGACCCGGAAAAGTACAACCCGGACAGATTCCTGGAATATCCCCGAATGGCAGACAGCTACGCTGGGAGCCCGGACTGGCAGCGCCGTGATCACTACGCTTACGGCGCCGGCCGACGCATCTGTCCCGGCATCCACCTGGCCGAGCGGACGCAGTGGCGGCTGAACGCGAGGCTCCTATGGGCCTTTGAGATCCATCGCAAGATAGATCCGCAAACAGGGAAGCCCATGCCCATCGACGTCAACAACTACCACGAGGGCATCTCTCACACGCCCGCCGAATTTCCCGTCGTGTTCAAACCGAGAAGTCAGGCGCATATTGATCTGATCAGACAGGAAATGGCCAGTGCCGCCAACTTCTTGAAAGCATGGGATGATTGAGAAATTGAAACTGTTTTGTTCGGTGAAGGACAGGTCCTGCAGTAGCTCAAAAGGGGGGCTGGGGGGGGAGTGGTGTTAGTTTTTGTCATCAACGGGGTGATAAGTGACAAAGTGACTTCCAGAGAAGAGAGCATTGTAGAGAGATATATCTACTCAGCCAGAATACTTTTACAACTACTCTGGCCTCAGGCCTGCTGGGGAGTGAGATTTGTAAAGCTGACCAAACTACATGAGCTTTTACTGCATCTCGCCAAAGTCTACGTAGGCAAGGAGTTGTCTATCAGATTGTAGATACTAATTCTACGGCTACGGCGCCCCGAAAAGAGGTAGACATGAGCCCTCCAACCACCCCCCCTTCACCCCCTTCCGGGGGAACCACTTCTGGCCCCCGCCTCTCAGTCACGATTGATGTCTCGTTCAGAACCACGGCCCGGTTTAACCCCAGAGTTTTTGGGGTACTTTGATAGTTCAGGAGCCTTGGACTGTCTGCCAACATGGAGTCTCACTAGCCTGTTGTTCGGTGTCTTCCAATGGGCGGATATGTACTCACGACGGGACCAGTTCACCGAAGTCGGTCCGGACTGCCCGGCCGGTGCATATCGGGGAGCAGCCCCAGTCTTGAGTCTTGAGAGTGAAGTCAAACGAGGATAGATCGAGACTTTGCTATTCTTCCAAACCAAGTATTTACTCCTTGTGACGGATTCCGATCAGTGTCTCGCAGTCCAGATCCGTACAACCATTGAGGGTGATACCTCCAAGAAATTTTCTGATTAATCTCCCCAAGAGTTGGTTCGTTCGACAAACGACTAAGCTAGAAAATACTGCGGAAGTGGCACTAGCCATGAGCTTGTCAGGGTAAGAGTCTAGCCGGCCACAGTGATGACTTTTTCGCATTCTCTTCCTCGTCCCTGGTTTTTTCGCGACTGACTGACTTGGATGACCATAGTGTTGCTTTGGTTACGGGCGCGGGTGGTGCTATCGGGAGGGCCGTAGTACTTGGATATGCTCGACACGGAGTCACGAGGATTGCTGGACTGGATCTTGACAGTAATTGTCTCCAAGAGACTGCATCGACACTCGCATCTTCCCATCCGGGAGTGCAATTTCTTCCGATCGTGGCAGACCTGGCGTCCGAGGAACAAGTGGCCGAGGCCATTGCGCGAGTGGTCGCCGAATACGGTGCCATACACTACGCCGCAAACAATGCCGGGATTGGGCGGCCGTACGGACTCACCCACGAGACCGACACGGCCGACTTTGATCGAGTCATGAGTGTGAACGTCAAAGGTGTTTTCCTGTGCGAGAAGTACGAACTACAACAGATGGTGAAGCAGGACGCGCGACCAGTGAATCCTTTGGTCCCGTCTGCCTTGGAACGCGGCTCAATCGTCAACACGGCATCGACATTGGGCCTCCGGGCAATGCCCTCGCTGAGTGCATACAACACGTCCAAACACGCTGTCTTGGGTTTGACGAGGACAGATGCCGTCGACTACGCGCAACGAGGAATTCGTGTCAACGCGGTATGCCCGGGGTTCGTCGACACGCCTCTACTGCTCGACTCGACCAAGCGAGCCCTGGCGAGCACGATCGCAAGGATCCCACAAGCACGCTTGGCCAGTCCGGACGAGGTGGCCGATACTATATGTTTCCTGAGTGGTGGGACCGCTTCTCACATCAACGGAGTTGCTTTACCAGTTGATGGAGGCTTTACAGTCACTTAGGGAGCCCCGCCGAGCGATTCTGAGGCTAATCATGTAACGGGACAAACACCGAGGAGAGGAGTAAGAAGTGATAAAAATAGATGGGTCAATCAAAGCGTCATGTGTTTGGTCTTTTGCTCGGCCATCGAACGCCTAGCCGTAGACCATGGTAGACAAAGTAAACACGAAAGGTCTGAACTGAACGAGGGCAGAAATGTTGCATGAAATTGCTCTATCTTGTGTTAATCATGAATGACCGAGAGTGAAATGCCACCAAAGCCATTGAAACACTCCTGGCAGGAAGGCTTGGCCTCGCAGCCTTGTCCTCCCCGGCCAATAAGGTGACTAAATTTTCGTATCTTAACAAGCATGGAGGACTACTTTCTAAGACTACTATAGCTCCACCACAGCCCCAAGGAATGGCTGTGTTGACACAACGGCGATGATCCGGGTAACGGTACAAGACCATGTGAGCTCATACACTACTCAGGAAGAGGCGACGAGGGTCAAGTCGAACGGGAAGCATTGTGGTATATGGAGACTACCAAGTGCCAAGCAGTGCTGTGGCACAGCAGAGTCATCGCATGATATACATGGCTCTCTCTGCTGTTCATTGGTTTGCATATTGTTGGTTCCTCGACCTAATACGGGAGCCGCGATAGGCCTTCTCAGAGCACACCCAGCACCCTGTCGACAGGGGCCTTGCCATGGTGCGCCATCAGCAATAGCCTTTGGAAATTATCGGCTCCTGGGTCAAACGGAGCTCTGGCAAAACTAGATGCAAATTCGCGAAATGAAACCAAGTCCGTTGCTCCGTGGTTCCCAGAGCCGACTTTATCGTTACCGATATCCAAGAGCGCCTCCCATTCCCCTTCGGACCCAGCAGTCCACATACCAGGGCGAACGTTGAATGGCAGTGCTTGAATGAAGAGCTCGTGATAGCAATATCCTCGGGTCCAACCGTTATACACGCCTTGTATGAGACAGCTCATCAGTATTGCTCGTCGCAGGCTTTCTGCCAAGATCCAGGCTTCCCATCGAGAAAGGTTCGACGGCATCATACGGGGCGCCTCATTGACCAACCTTACCGCCAACCTTCTTGTATGGCCAAGAAGCTTTTCCTTGTGGCGAGGTATGCTCTGGTCACCGGAGAAAAGCAGCCGCATTATGTGTCCGAGGAGGATTTGAAAGGCTTGTAAGATCTCGGATAGCGGTTCGCGAGAATCGTGCAGTGCGCATAGCAGGTCGCTAAGCCTAGTACACTGAGTTATATCACTGCAAGTAGTCTTTCGACTTTCAACGTCGAAGTCTGGCCCGAGAAGCGCTGGCCGAGGCCGAGGCTTCCTTTGGGGATGTATGTATGGCGCCGACTGGCTCAAGGCCACCAAATCCGCCATATCCACCAATTCACGGGCCAAATATTCGACGGTGGGGAAGTCGGCAGAGATAGGAACTCTCCAGACGACAGGGCATTGAGTGGTTGGGTTCCTGTAACATTCGAGAGCAACCCTTTTAGGATCCATATGCAAAGATGAAACGTAATGCAGGAATTTGGAGTTGACCGAGAGGTCGCCATCGTCATCGGCGATTGGTCCGGTGAGGTTGGTACTGGGTCTTGAGGTGCTGGTTCTTGAAGTACCGCCGATCAAGGGTTCGAGGTCGTAGACACAGTCGATCTGCCGGGTCCGGCACCGGGAACATTGAGGCAGTTGTACGATGCATCGCCGTTTGGCCGCAGTGCAGGCTCGACAGGCTTTGCGTAGAGACCTGGTCATCGAGGAGGAGGCGCAGCAGACGGTAGCGTTTTCACAAAGGAATGTTTGGTGGATTGCTAATCTTGAGAAGGATGAGGAATAGATCCCACCGAAGAAGCGTATGTTGTGGCGGGGATCCCCATTCTTATGCCAACCGCATGCACGTGACCCGCCCTGGAACATCCTCGGCACCTTGTCTTGCGTCCCGCATCCCTTTAACCCAGTCGAGTTTAGTTCCCACCACATCATGTTCTGTACTGTAATGAATACAAACCCGACATTGAAGTATCACGGTCCAAACATGCTCTGCTATAAGAAGCCGACAGCGACAGTTCTGGTCACCATCGCAGGCAACCACATACAATCTTACAGCTGTGTCTTTGTAACGGCCCAGTCGGGCACTTCTGATGCTCTCTCCACCTGTCGTTGACCGCAAATGGTTTGGTTCCCCCTCTTGGACACTTGCAATCTCTCAACTGGTGCTCATCAAGACCCAGCTTCGAGGCTGTTGCGGACTCAATGTCTCAAGACTTATCTCCGCTAACACCACCGTCAACCCGGGTGAGGGCGTGGAAGTGATTTAATGCTGGTATAAAAGGGGGACTCAGTCACTTGGGCCAAAATGGCTTCTGTCCAGCTTCACCGTCACCAGCAAGCCGACACGGACTCGAATGATGGCTCAAATGATCCGAAACTCTGCCTTGAGCGCATTGATCCGCATATGTCTTCACGGACATTACTGGCCTCATCATCCCGGCGATCTTGAAAAGGCTGGAAGCAGCTCGGTCAGGGCGACGGGCCAGGCTGATGAGAACGAGAAATCGGTGCACCTTGTTGGTTGGGACGGCCCGGACGACGTCGAAAATCCACTCAACTTCTCCGGCGTGAAGAAGGGTGTGATCACGGCACTGACTTGTGTCTACACATGGGCAATCTATGTCGGCTCTTCGATCTACACATCCAGTCAGCCTGGCATCGAGCATCACTTTGGCGTGGACAATTTCCAATCGTCCTTCGGTCTCGCCATCTACGTCCTGGCATACGGTCTGGGGGGTCTCTTGTTCTCGCCGCTCTCCGAGGTGCCATCGATCGGACGCAATCCCCCTTATGCCATCTCCGGGGCCCTCTTTGTCGTCTTGTGCGTCCCAACGTCGCTTGTTGACAATTATGCGGGGCTCATGGTCCTCCGATTCCTGTTAGGCTTCATGGGATCCCCTTGCCTGGCCACCGCTGGGGCAACGCTTGGCGATATCTGGGGCCCGGCTCGATTCCCATACTTCATCGGGCTGTGGGCGTGCACGACGGCCTTGGGACCAGCCTTGGGACCGATGTTGTCGTCCTTTGCTGTCGAGTCTCTGGGTTGGAGATTCTCCAGTTGGGAGCTCCTCATCATTTCGGGCTCCGTCTTCGTCGTCTTTGTCGCCTTGGTTCCGGAGACGGCGGCACCAACCATCCTGTATTACCGGGCGAAGCGACTCAGGGAGTTGACAGGGGATCAAAGTTACATGTCAGAGGAAGAGATCAAACAAGCCAAGCTCACGGCTGGTCAGCGGCTGTGGGGTTCAATCATCAAGCCTTGGGAAGTCAACGTCAAAGACCCGGCTCTGTTGTTCATGACCTTGTACATGGGTTTGATCTATGCAATTGTCTACTCTTTCTTCGAGGTACGCCACTTTGTGATCCGTCCCTTGCACTCCAGCTTTTCTACCATTACTACTAAATTCTGATCCTAACTCTGTTCAGTCACTGCCCCTTGTCTATCCGCCAATTTACGGGTTCTCGCCAACTTCCACGTCCCTCATCTGGCTAGCAGTCGTTCCTGCCGGGGCGATCGGCTTCCCACTCCACTGCTTCTGGCTGTCCAAACGTGTCGAACCCAAAATCCGGGACCAAACGTTCGGCGATCTGGAGAATTTTCTCGAAACCGGCGTCGCCGCCAGCCTTTTGATGCCAGCATCTTTGTTCATGTTTGGTGAGTTTGTTCGTTACTCTACTCTTCCCTGCCCAATGTTGTCGATCGAGACCATTGAGAGTAAAGATGCTAATGACAATTTCTCCTGTGTGAATGGGTGATACATGTAGCATGGACAGCTAGACCCTCTATCCACTGGATGGTTCCCACCGTTGCCATCTTCCTCTACATGGTCGCGCAGTATTTTCTGACCAACTCGGTCTTTTTGTACATTCCGGCCATCTATCCGCGCTATGCAGCGAGCATCTTTGCAGCCAACAGCGTGGCGAGGGCCCTTTTGGCGTTCGTCGCGGTGCTGGTGGGACGACCGATGTTCAAGGGTATTGGTATCGATGGGGGTGTGAGCTTGTTGGGAGGCCTTACAGCGGTTTGCGCTGCCCTGTTGGCGGGGCTGTATTGGAGCTGGGGGAAGAGATTGAGGGCGAGAAGTCGGTTTGCTGCTTGATCAACTGCTACTGAACTATTGCCCTTGTGCCACTGCTGTCTACCCCTTGGGTGCCCCTGCACCTACCATGTGGGTTGCCAAGGCCATGATGCCTTGGCACTGCCTTGCCTTCACTAGGGCGAGAACCTCCTGTAGCGCTCTCCAGATATACCTGTTCATGCATTACAGAGATCTTTTTCTTTCGTCCTTCTCCTGTTCTTCACAGCCATCATAGCTACAGCATTCTAAGCCGGTGCAGTCTGTGTCGAGGAGATCAGCTGCACCGTGGGCCCAAACCCAGTCCAGCTACTCCTTGTCCAAGCTTCGTTGACTTGGCGATTCAGCCCTTGGATTGCGGCAGAAAATTCCAAATGTTACCGCTATTTCGTTAAATCCCAGAGTAGTCGCAACAGATATGCTCCAGGATAAATATGCCTATTTGGCCATCGACAAGCCGAGTTGACTGGTGCTTTTTTGCGAGTGGCTTGTTACAGATCAGGCTTCGTTTCTGAACGGAAAGTATGCCAGCGTCCGCTGGGACTTCGAGGAACCCTTACCAACGAAAGGATGAGATCATGAACAACAAAGATCTAACTATGGACTTGGTGGGAACACTTTGCACTAGAAAGGGGCTACCGCCTGAGCTGATAACCTGACATGGAATAAACAGGCATTCAAACCTGAACAGCCCTACAAACCTGAAGAGGTCATCTGGTCGGCGCAGACGACAAGCATCCACCATCAGGAATCGGATTAGGATTCATTCTCGACGACCTTCGGAATCTTGAACTACTGTCAACCCTTATGATACTACATTCATTCTCCTCTCAAACATACTTGGCAGAAGGCTGTGCTACTTCACTCACAATTGACAAGCCACTGATGGGCCAGAAAGCCGCAGATCAAAGCAAAAGAAGCCCCCGTCCCAACGACAAGAGACTTTCAACTAAAATTCCCGCAGAGCCAGAACTCTCACCACACCACCACCGCATTCTCTCTCTGCTCATGACTCATAAATCGCCCAACAATTTCTGCCTAACCAACCGTCTTGACAAAGAGCCTCTCCCTCCAAACGAGATTGGATTTATTCGGGGCGGGTTGAGGCTGGAGGACTCAACAAACGATAGCGCCTGGCTCCCTGTTGTTGTTTGCTTCGGGTCTCTTGGGTGCCTATGCCCAACCGTTAATATGAATGCTTCATCCCAAGGGATGACCGAGACGTACCATTGGCACCGAGGGTGCTATTTGCACCAACCATTCAGAGAAAGGCATGGATCGGAGACCAAAAAAAGGTTCCAAAAATTCCCGTCAGTCTTGAAAGACCGACGGAGTTTACAAGGGCTATAAAGAGCCCAGGGCCTTAGAAAATGTCTTGATTTCTTCATCGCTCCTTAGCTCTGAAGTCGTAACTTGCCTCCTTCAAGGCGTGAATTAACAACTCACACGATACAGAAGCCTTTGGGCACCCGAAGAATGATGGGCTCTTCAAGTGGGGTCTTGCCACAATTTCTCACTTCGGGCTGCATCTCCAGAGTGTTGAAGGGAGGGATGGGTGCGAACGGTGACGACGCCGATTGCGAGGTGCGAGGACACAGCAACGAGCCATGTCGGGAAAGCAAGTCACAACTTCAGCTTCTTCTCGAGACATACCAGTACCAGCAGCAATCTTCTTGACAGCTGGCAGCGTGGTGTAACCGCTAGACTGCACTGAGCCAGTCGTTGGCATCGGTTTGGAGGAAGAAGAGCACGACCCACATGGAATGAGAGGCTCGGGTGTCAGGAAGCAAAGTCCCAGCAAAGTCTGTTATGGAATGCTGCTAGACAGCAAGGGAGTGGTGCATAGCATAGAGAGTGTGGTGAGAGGTGAGAAGTAAAGAGACGAACGCAAGGACTAATATCTCGACTTTGGACAGGCACAACAAGGCAGGAGGCACTCTGGTGTATTGGTAGGTACGTCTAACACCCATTCTCTGAGGAAGCCACTCTTACCACAGTCGTCCATCTACCCGACGTTCTATTGGGCGTTTCGTGGAATGAAGGAGCATCAGATACCCTGGAGCAGACCTTTTGCCACGATCAAACCTCAGAGAGCCGCTTCTCTGTCCATGCGTGTTCCATGTCTGGGGAAGCAGGGAGGCCCCGTGACGCCTCATGCATGCATCAGAGCGGCCTGCGTTGATCACAGCAAGCGGAAGGCAAGCTCTGTGTTCGACTGACTATTTCCTTCCAAAGTTCTGGGGCATGAAAAAGAAAGATGACCGGAACAGACGGCCAGGGCACTGGCGAAGATGGGAAGGAGAAGTGCTCTCCGTAAAAAGAATGGCTATTCCAATCTGCTTCAAATCTAGGCGTATGCTATGCGAACTTCCTCAGGAAAAGTAGTTCGCTTCCATATCTGCTAGTAAACCAGGCTGTCCAGAGCCTTTGGGGTTCCACCCGAGCACCCTCTGCGTCTTTTCGCTTGAAGTTGGGTTATCAGCGCTGAATGCCAAAGCGAGAAACCCAAGAGTCCCCATGGCCTCCTCAACAGTTTTGCTTTCCACCGGTAGTCCCAGGTTCTTGCCAACGACTCCGGCTATATCCTTCATTGGAACACCCTGCTCCGCAACGGCATGGTAATAGGCGCCTGGTGTACCCTTTTCAAGCGCAAGGCGGAATAGGACAGCAGCATCCTGGCGATGAACGGCAGGCCAGCGACTCGATCCGTCGCCCAGGATGATGACCGAACCGGTCTGTCGCGAGATGTCGATGAAGCGAGGAATGAGCCCGCCATCGTCTTTGCCGTGGACTGTGGGTGGGAGACGAACGATCGAGCCGCGGATCCCCTGCTCCTTTGACAATTTCACAACAAGATCCGCCGCGCCCTGTCTCGTCTCGAACGCCGTTCCACGATCAGGTTCGGCGTCTTCGACAGCCAGTTCGCCTTTCACAGCAACCAGGGTGCCGGAGGCGATGACCAGTGGCTTTCCTGTACCAACCATGGCTTCACCCATGGCCTCGATAGCGGCTCGGTCAACTGCGGCGGCTTTCGCATAGTCGCTGAAATCGTGGATCTACAACACCTGGTCAGCAAGTGTCGAAAACAGGCTCCTCCACAGGTTAAAGGGATATACTCACGAATGCAAGGTGAATGACCCCGTCGGCCTGCTTCGCGCCGCTCCTCAGACTCTCTAGGTCCTCAAGGCTGCCCCGGTGAACCTGTGCCCCAAGTTTGGAGATGGTTTCCGCAGAGGCGTCGCTTCGTGCGAGTCCCAACACTTGATGACCGTGGTCAAGGAGTTCTTGGATGGTTGCGCGACCTATGAACCCGGCAGCACCGGTCAAGAACACGAGCATGGTTGTCGAGATATGGTAGTAGCGAGTTAGAAAATCCAAGTGGTATAGCAGACAGGTTGCTCAACGAAGTAGACGGAGAGGATGGTAGGGAAGCTCAAGATGGGACGACACCCTTCGTCCACGCACAGCATTTATACTACTGTCTCCTACGGCGCCCTACGCTCACTGGACTATCCCTGAACATGCACAGCTCGGATTTATCTTCTCATCTTTCTCCAGCGAAGTATTTGATGTGATGTGGATCTTTCTAAGTCCGAGAAAACACTCTGTGCGACGATTACTAGATCATTTGAAGACATGATGGCAGCCGGAGGTAGCGAGGCACGGATCCCTCACACCTAGATTGTGGGGAGCAGTCGCGAGGCGCTAACCAGGACTCGTATTTCGATTGTGATGGTATCGGTTTGGGATCTCCAAGACCGGGCCTTGGATGCCCCGGGTCCGAATGTAAAAGTCGATTCGATTCTTGGTCTGTCCCACTTGAAGGTTTTAGGCCTCCTAGGTGCTCTTATTCCCATTACAAAGGAGGCTCGCTGGGACGGACAAGTTTGGGACCGTCCGTACGAAAAGAGATTTGCCAGGAATACCTAGTACATACCTAGTATGCTGGCAGACGGGGAGCAGTGTCTCTAATGGCAGAAGAAGTTGAAGGTGCGTTGAAGAGAGTCCAGTGGGTGTGGACAGAAATAGCCAATCAAATCAAGCCGCTTAAATTTCTACCAAGTGAGGCTTGGCGGGTCTACGAGTCTGCATTCCTCTACAACTGCGAGCACCGGTCACAAATCACATTGTAACCTTTCCATCCACATCTATCTCATTTCAGAGATGTTGCAGTCTTCAATAGCCTTGGACTAACATGTCACCTGACGGCTCACTCTTCTGGACGTGGTCGCAGTCGGTGTCACACCATATGACCTGGAGGAAGCGGGTCAAGCATGGATCTCGACGACAGCCTGGATGAGACTGGCGACCCTGCGGACGTCAACAATCCCTCGTCAGAAGCTATCCATGGAGATGCTCAGGCACCTGGAGATGCCCACGTAGTGCCACTCGAAACTTCCAAGGATGCGCCTGCTCCGCTCGCGTTCCACCATCGAAAATGGGAACGACTTCGCAAACACTACCGGGACCAGTATCTCGACGTATTCAAGGAGACATTTGGCACTGAGGACAAAAGCGATGTCGCTGGGGATCTACTGCCAACTCAGCTTGGGGCGGTCCTTTGGCAACCTGACGAGAAAGCTAGGTTGTACGACGCCCTGGATCGGAAAGGCCGGCATGATTTGAGGGCTCTCTCGACGTTGGTGGCAACAAAGTCTGAGGTTGAGATCAAAGCATACTTGGACAACCTGCGGGGCCAGGAGACTGACCGCCAGCGGTTTGAGGCGCAACCAAAAAACATCTCCCACGCCGACATCCCCGCTGCTATTGAGATCGGCCGTCGATGTGAGGCTGTCCTTGATACGGCCGCGGCTGCTTTGTCAGCGTTTCAAGAACAGTACGATGCTACGGTTGGCCAAAACCGCAATGACTTGTGGTTCATTGATCACGAGCTGGCGGCAGAGCTGGATCGGAAAAGCGACGAATTTACAACATCTGACAACACTAGCAGCCAAGAGTCTGATGAAACACCTGCGCCAATTTCCGAGAGAGCAATCCGAGCTTTTCGTCTCTCGACGTTTCTC